GTAGCCTCCTTGCCACTTGTTCAGCCATGTTCCTCACCTGCGGGAAGCTGAGCCCGTTCCTTCCGCATTCCCACCAGGCACAGTGTGAAACCACAGGTCACCCAGCAGCTTCTCGACTGAGAAGGATCCCAAGTCCAATTCAGGAATAGCCAGGTCCATAAAGGGTCCAGTGGATCCTCCCCTGCCCCTAAGTATGCCCCATATATGGTTTATCGGGAACCAGCACAGCCTTTGGATAGAGACCCATAACAAGTGTCTGCTGAGAGCTGAAGGAAAGACAGAGTATCGTTTCTATTATCAGAAATAATGATGCCCTCAGTAGTACCTTGCTCATGTAGAACAGGAAGGAGGCTTTTGGACATTCATAGCCTCCCGTCCCGTTTTGTTTTCCCACAAATCCTTTGAGCTAGCCAGGATTTTTTGGGACCTCGTTCTGAGATAAGGAAGCAGAAATTTCAGACAGGTAAAATTCAGACCTTTTCTCGAGTGTCTTCGTGTACCCATTCTGGATCTTTGGGGACCGGCTCAAGCTCTGTCATTTTGCCATGTAATCATCTACCAGCTCCTCTTTCCCCTTGCTAGAGAATGTCCTGGGCATATCTAGTTTCTGATGATGGCCCCATGACAGCAGTGACCGCCTGTGTTTGTCTATTTTTGTATACAGATTGAACCACTCTGGTGTTGGTGGGGTTTGAGCAGCTGCTTGGGCTAAATTACAAGGCTCCAGGGAGGGAAAGGAGATAAGAGGGATTCAGCACCAAAGCCAATAGTTCTCGGGGCTATAAGATGCACTAATAAATTTGACTTTGGGGCATTTCGTGTTTGGACAAAAGAGTTTAAAATAGTAATGGGGAATCCCCGGTTTCTAATAAAAGCTTCCAGAGAAGAGGCAGCCTTTCTAACCACCTCTTGCCCACCCTTGCCCTCGGTCCAGGAAGGCACAGTGTCAGTCTCATGCTGAGGTGTCTAGTTAAAACCTAGCCACAGCAGAGCCACAGCCAAATCTCTCCACGTTGCCCACAACCCTCTCTCATGTGAAAAGATTTTGGAGGTCATGGGCTTGAGGGGAGGGAAGGGAGAGGAAGGGGTACAAAGTTTAATGCCACCTATCCCGTCTGTTGATGTGGCACAGGACACTCCCCATTCTCCCACTTAAGTGGTCCAAGTTGAGCCTCGCCATGCCCCTGAAAGATCTAAGGAAGATCTAAGGAAGAGGGAGGCAACTCATCTTTCTGAGGCACTGCCTTCCTGTGCTCCTGACAGACATTTGTTTCATCAACTAAACATCCCTGGGAGGCGGCTAACTTTATCAACTTTTTATGGGTAAGAGGACAGAGGCTCCGAAGTAAGCTGCATGGAAAAATTAATAACTGAACTTAACTCTGGCTGACCAACAGGCATGTGTTACTTTGCAGCAGACATTGCCTCATCTACAGTCCCACTTCACAGATGAATAAACTGAGCTCTAGGGATGATGTGTGACTGGAACAAGCACCTAGCACTAAGTAATGCCAGGCTTCAGCTTCGAATTTAGGAGTCCTAACTTCAGTCTTTCTTTTCACATTATAGATTGTAGGGGCCATTGTAATACGCAAGCCATTTTCCTGCTTGAGGCCTTTGAGTCTGATGTTCTATCTCCCTAAAGTGCCATTTCTACAGCTCTCTGATTAGCAATGTCTGCTCATCCTTCAGGGCTCGGCTTACAGTTGCTTCCTCAGGAAAGCCTTCCATGACTAGATATACCTCCTAAATCAGTCTCCATTAACTCTCTTGTCATACCTGTGCTTTTTTCTCATATTTCTTTTTCCTTGAACGTATACGACTCTAAGTTACATTTATTTTTGTTGTTCAACAATAATTCTGCCTTCCCCTGTTAGACTCTCAAATTCCGTGAGGACAGGGACTTTATCTTATTTGTTCATTACAGTATCTGTAGAACTCAGCGTATTTAGCATTCACTGGGGCTCAATAAGACAAAATTAAAATTTAGACATGGGTAGAATGAGCAGACACGAAGTCTATAGGTTTGAACAAACTCATACCTAACAAAATTAAGAGATGAAATAAGTCCAGGTTCAGCACTGCCTTGTCTGTTCAACTGCTATAACAAAATATCATAGACTAGATGGTTTATAAACAACACAAATTTATTTCTCACAATTCTGGAGGCTGGAAAGTTTGAGGTCAAGGCACTAACTCAGTGTCTGGTGAGGGTCTGCTACCTGGTTTATAGATGGCTATCTTCTTACTCTGTCTTCTCGTGAAAAAAGGGTCAAGAGAGTATTCTGGGGTTTCTTTGCAAGGGCAATCATCCCATTCATGAGGGCTGTAGCCTTATGGCCTAATCACTTTCCGAAGGCCCACCTCCAAATACTGACCCATTGTGGGTTAGGAATTAGCATATGAATTTTGGTAGACACAAGTATTCAGTCGATAGCAAGCCGATTTACTGCATTTATCTAGAATTTCCTCAGGTACATCTGGAGTTGTGCATAATGGAAATTTCTCAATGTGGCCTACACATGGATAAACCCCAAACTCCTCTCAGATCTCCTTGCCCAGGACACCCTCAGCACACTTAGTGAGTTGCAGGATGAGCTGTACATTAGTCCACAAATCCACTGTGTGCCTCCTGTTCTGCATTGAAGCTCTCGGTTCCCAGCCGTACCAAGATGCTCCTGGGCTACTGAACACACCTACACCACCACCCACCCCATGTATTCCAATCTTCACAAATGACAGCTCCATTCTTCCCACTTCTTAGGCCGAAACGCTTGGCATTATCCTTTACTTGTGTCTTTCCCTCTCACCCCATGGCTAACCCATCAGCAAATACTATAGTAGGCTGTTCTCCACATAGCAGCCAATTGTGACTTAAACCTCAAGTCTAATATTTAATGGCTCTATGTGGCATGGCCTGACTCTACACTAACCTCTAGCCACTGTCCCCCTAGCTTACTCTGCTCCAGCTACACTGGTCTCCTTGTATTCCACCAACATGGTGAGCACACGCTCATGTTCATATCATGTTTCATATCATATCATGATGGGCTCGTGTGCCCATTATGCTTCCTTTGTTTGGAATTCTTTTCTCCCAAATATCTCATGGCTCACTTTCTTACTTTATTTGGGTCTCTACTCAAATACCCTCTGGTTAGAGAAGCCTTCTCTGAGCAGCTTATTTAAAGCAGTACATCCCTACTCTTTTTCATTCCCCATCCCCTTTCTTTTTTTTTTTTTTCAGTTTTGTCTTTTATTACAATCAACAGGTTATGTCATTATTAGTATTCTTATTATTATCATTTTACCTTATTATCTGCCTCACCGAAAACAAGGACTTGTTTTTTATTGTTATTATTATATCCTCAATTCCTAGAAAAATAAATATTTATTGCATAACTTGGTTGGATGAGTATCGGCATCCTTCACATTTACTCCATTCAGTAGCCTGGCTTCCCACACCCTGAGATTTGCACAGAAGACATAGTAACTCCTGAGCTTGTTGGAATGTGGCATGCCATACCAGTTGCCTAGCCTAAAGTCCAGTCCAGCTATCAGTGGTGTTTAGTAGATAGGTTCATGGGCACCCCAGCAGTTTGCTGGATGGACCAGACTATGGTAGCGTGAGCCAGCTAGGCACAGCTATTCCCAGCTCTGCAATCAGCATCTTTAGCTTGACAGCTTGAAACAAGAAGAGTGCTTACACTATGGGAATTAATTGCCGAATGCCTTACAGTAGGGTTTTGCTACCCTCCCTCTGAGAGCCAGGTATTAAATGTTTGTCAGCACAAGACTGATTAGTAACAATTTCTCCTCCCACTGATAATAGTGTGCTAGGATCTGAAAGCCAGTTACAGGGAGGCATTTATAAGCTACATGGTGATGACATTGGGAACCATATACAGAGAAGAAGCATTAAAAGCACTTGAGATATCCCACCTGGAGATGTACAGATCTGATACCTGTAACTGAAAGTACCAAGGATGACTCATGGGAGGAGTAGTAATGTAGCCTGTGCACATGGGCAGAGCTGGAGAATGCATGGGGGAGGAGAGGAGTCTAATAACCTCTGGGTGTGGTGTCTGGCTCTAACTTGAGATGTGGGGTCTGTAGTGGGTTGATTAGTCCATCTGCTTCCTCATCTGTAAAATGGGGTTCGCATTCCTATTTAGCAGGAAGATCATGATGGTTTAAAAAAGCACACAGTTTCTGTTCTCAGGACTCAGGGGACGAGTTTCAGTGAGGCATATTTCAACCGAATAAAGGTAGAGCTTGCTAAAGACTGCTGCTGTGGCCCTAAAATAACAAGTGCCACTTCCTCCAAAGTGTTCAAGCTGGGTGTCCATCTGTCAGAGAAGTTAGAGAAGGGGATTCCTGCATTGGAGGGAGGCTGGTCTGGATAATCAACCTCCAAGATCGCTTCCACACTAAGACTTCTACAGCCAAAAACATGTCCCTGGGCAAGTCACTGACCAATTTTTTTGCCTCATTTCCTCCATCTGTCAAACAAGCAGGATAGTCTCTGCCCCTTTCTGTTTTGTATTGCTGTTGGGATGATTAAGTGAGATCATCATTTGAATTTTTTTAGGTCTAGGGAGTAAAGGTATTTTGTCATCCCATACTTCCTTCTTGTTATAATGGAAACCCTTTGTATCTTGAAATAGCGTAACCTTCCCTATGACTTGGTTATGAAGAATACCCACTGTTTTTCACCTAGTCAATTATAGAGTAAACAATTAAAAGGCAGCACTATTGTCAAACTCTTAAATTTTATGCAGAAATAAACTATGTGTCTTAGAATTGAGATTCTTGTGTAATATCGTATAAGGTCAAGGAAAGCCGTAGGGTTACTGGAGAGATCAGGCCCTGCTGTTTACATGGCATGCCTTTCCCATAGCTATGGCAAAGGTGAGCAGCTGGGCACAGCTAGCTGTGGCCTCCCTGGACTCCCACCCCTCTTCTTGCCCAGAGTCAGGTTTGCTTCACATAGCCATGTAGCAATGGGTCCTCTGTCCCCCAAATCACAGGACTCTCTCATCTCTGTTCTTAACTACAATTCCTTAGATCTGGAATTTCTTTTTATCAAAAGACATGGAGGCTCTGATTTTTCTTGTCTGATTAGAAGTGAAAACACGGCAGATAGCGATCCTGAGAATAGTCACATGGTGAGTGAGAGATGGAGGGCATGGATTATTCTGAAGACAAACTTAGGTTTCACTAACTCCTCGGTTGTGTCAAGGGCCCTACTTCTCATTATCATTCTACCACTCCATCGTTTTCTATGATATCCCACCCCTGGGTACTTTAGTAATAGTTTGTATGATGCCTGATAATGCCCTGGGTGAGTGGTGGGGCTACACGTGGCCTTTCCCAGACTCACAGTCTGTCAGATCATGAGGTGGTCTTGCAGAGTTCCTCATGTCAGAGGTGGGGAATATGAGCCAGGTAGAGATATGACTTGTGTGAGGTGGCACTACCAGTGAATTGCCAAATATGGCTACAAAAGTGAACATTGCCAGTCCCTGTGGTGGGCCCTTTGTGTTTGTGCTATAAATAAATGGCTTGGGCGTATGATTACTAAAGGGGTCTCCGACTCAGTTAGCAGCTACATCCTGTCCTGCTGATGTAGCATCTGTGTTGTTCATTCATTTTGTTCAGTCTCAGTGGGCAGTATATAGAGAGGCATCTCCAACTGAGCCAGCCAGAAATCGTGGGCAAGTTTGTCCAAAAATGGGTGGACTGTGAGTCAGGCAAACAGGAGATTTCAGAGAGAACAATTAAAGGACACTTTATTTGGAGAAGAGGTCCTGGGAGATATAATCCACATTTGACTGAGCCATTATGATGAAGAGGACATCTCCATTTTCCAGATACTCCTGTGAGATGATCTTGTTCTTGAGATTGAAATCACAAGAGAGCATTTTTTAGCAAACTGTAGTCAAGGCAGGACTGCATGAAATACAAACAGGTATATGCATAGCCCAACAAACAGCTGAACCAACTGTTTCCATAAATCCTGTATAAAATATAAGAGGGACAGATTTTTAACAAAGTACCCAGGTGTATATATGTCACAGAAACACACATCCTTCAAAGTTGTCATGCTAGGAGTCTAGTCTTATTTTCTGAAGGTGGTTTGCTACCTTAATATATTGGGGGACATCTTTAGAAGCTGTGGTAGACCCTGTAGAATATCTTCAATGGTGGAGAACCACTCTGGAAACAGCTAGATGTCATGGTCCTCAAAGAACTCCCATCCTAGGGGGTGGCAGAACCAAGTGAGTACTCAGCACTTTTGCAAGGCCTGTAACACTAATGCAAAAGCAGGGCCATTTGTGAAAGACATTGCACACTGGTTGTGCAAACGTTTTCAAATAGCAGTTCAAAGAGATTTTCATTTCAACCAAAAGCAAAGCATATAAACAAGCAAGTTCTACTTGGTTAATTAAATAAAATGAATAAGCAACTAACCATATCTTACTTCCTTAAAAATACTTAACTAATCTTTGTGATGAAAACTGTAAGCAGAGTTATTTGGTAAACAAAGACTGTCTTTCAAATTTTAGTTTGTGAAGGTTGTTTCTTGCAAATGAGAGGAAGAACTCCAGTTTCATTTCTCTTAGCTTTGATAAAGATGGTTGTCTGTCTCCCCTGAAGATTATATCTACTGCTGTCCAGCTTTATCACTTCGTCAGGTGCAAAACTATCTGTACTACTTATTCCTCCTAGTCCTCATCCTACGTTGAATTCAATGAGGACATAAACCACGTTTCATGCCTGTTGTAACAGAGATGGACTACTTGGGTCTTCCCATTTTTGTGTATTATCGAAAGTGCCCACTTTTATGGTTGTAATTATATTATTCTTTCTTGGGATGCAACTACCCCCTTCCCATTATTGGTTACTTTTTTTTTTTTTTTTTAAATAAATCCTGTCTCATTGTGTCTTGGCATCTCTAAAAGACACAGATCTTTTCTAAGTGGGAAGAAGTGACCCATGCATTTAGATTGCCTGCCAGCACCACACATATAGAATAGTTAAGAATGAACATAGGCCTTGGTTTCAGATGGAATTGAGCATATTCTCTAGATCTGTCAGTTGCTGTCTTGCAACCTTGAATAAGTAATTTCATGTAGCTAAGTTTCTGCTTTCTCATTTGTAAAATGGGTATACTCATGGTACTGCTTCATAAGGTTCTTGAGAAAATGTAATGAAAGGAAAGCATTTAATAGTTCATGGAGATTCCCAGCATCTGTGATGGTGCCCAGAACTTAGCATGCCCTGATTAGCTGGGCAGAGAAGGAAGGGAGGAGAGAAAGGTGGGAGGTGGGGAGAGAGTATAAACTTGGTTAGGAAGAGAAGATACACGTCTGAGGCAGTGTATGTGTACAGTGCAGACTCTAGTGTAGAGTCCTTGGTCAGCCAGAAGTCATGAACAAAGTTCCTTGGAAAAAAGTTATCTTGAATTCAGAGAAATTTGAGGAGAAGATCAAGAGAGTAGGACACTACCTTAGATACCTGCACTGTGAGGCCACCTGGGGCTGATGAGAAGCCTGGCTCTACCTGCATGGCAAGTCATTTGGGGCACAGCTGGCAGTGCTAAAAATGTCTCTGGAACCAGGGTTGACTCCCTGGCACAGTAGGAAGGGAGAAAGCACCAATCCATTTTGGGATGCCTGAGATATCTTAGACCGAGGTCTGGACTTGTCATAATTCAGAGTCACATCCTAGACTTGTCACTTTTTGCTTCCATACTCTGAATTATTTAACCAATTGGAACTTCAGTTAGCTTAACTAAAAATTGTTGAAAATAATACCACCCTGCATTGGTAATGTGAACATTAAGATGGATAATAAAGTTAAAGTATCTGCCTGGTACAATGACAGGCAAAAGTGGGTCCTGAAAGATAAATTATTTTTCATATTATAATTTCCAAGAGTTTAGGGTAGGCTTTCTGGAGGAGATCCTTCCATTTTACCTGAAGCTTACAAATGCTATGACTGCTGGCATCCATCTGCAAGGTCCAGCTATCATTGGGTCCAGCTTGACTTTATCCCTTTTAGATATTCACCTGTAATTGTGATTAATTGCTCTAGATTTAGCCTGGGGGACTCAGATTATCAGCCAAATTGGCTTCATTGAGCTGAGGAGCAGAGCTTTTGACTCTAGTGCCCAGAACCTTGATGAAGCAAGTACCTTATGACTTTTCCATTTTATGCTGAGAGTGAGCCTAGGGGTGTAAATCAATTTCCTAGGATTCACCAAGGGGATGCATTTGAAAGCTTTAATATGAGTTTTAGAGCCAAGCGAACAGATCATCTGGTCAGTTCTAAGCAGAAACTCAGCAAATGATGAGAAGACAGACAAGATTGGATTCCCCCCCTAACCCCAGCATCCAGCCTTGCTTGGCATATGTTCAATGAAGGAAACCTCCTTTATTGGCCTTTTACCGGACATTGGAAACAGCCCACAGATGCTTGCATGTGATTTCTTCATTTTGTTCAAAATTAAGAACCTATAGCCCAGATTGTGCTCCTGAGAAGCAACGTATCTTTAGCTCCTTCCCTGGTAAATTAGTTATGCTTTCTTAAGCGTGTAGCTTGCTGAACTTCAGATGAAGAGAGCAGACATCACTGCCTGCAGAAAGTGTAAAGAAAGGTAGAGAAAGCATTTTCCTGATGAGTAACTCATAGCAAGAATTAAAGGCCGTGTTCCTAAAACGAGGTCTAATGTGTTCCTAAAATGAATTTTAAAGGTTAATTCTCCTTTCCCCAGTTATATTCTGTTAGCACTGTGAATGGCATGTTCACCTGTCTAAGGGTCTTATCTTTTAAGATATGAATTTTCAAAATTTATTTTTTGTGAAGCTTTAAATCATCTTAACTTGGAAGTCCAATATGAAATAACAATAGAAGTTATGCTGCCCTGTATAAAGGGGGTTGTGGTTGGAATCCACCTCCCACCTCTCACCTACTCACAGTCCCCAGGACCCTTCTGTAGAATCCAGGGCTCTGTAGGGCATGGTTTGAAAACCACTGTTCCCTGCATTTGTTATGCATGTTTCATTCTGAGTGTCAGAAGCATCATATAGGATGTGATAGAACCTCTGATCTGATAATGCACATTCCAAAAATAGCAGGGCTCATAGAATATTATGATGTAGTGAAAAAAAGAACATGAGTCATACCACTTACTTGTTGTGTACCTTCAGAAATGACTTAACCTACTTGAGCTACTTTTTACGGAAATACTTAATAAATGGGGATGTGGCCATTTATGTCACCAGTGTATACCAGGTTTACCTTTGTAAACTTTCCACCCAATACCACACAAGATGCTCTCCATGAAGTCCATTTTTGTTGGTCTAAGGAATAAGGCATTTAAAAATAATTCTAATGGCAATTTCAAAAAGGGTGGGACAAGCTTCTACAAGTTCATCAATTTGTTGAAGAAAGGTAAAACAAGACTCATTGTCTCAATGAGTTCCAGATTAGGGCATAAGAGTCCCTTTCTGTCACTAGGTCTCTGCAGTAATAGCTCTAATATACAAGAAGAAGGATTAAAGGTATTCCCACTCAGAAGTTGAAATAGTTGTGTTTTGGACAACAAATATGCATACCACCTTTAGAGCATAGGTTATATGTGCAAGGTTACACATAGAAGCTTAAAAAAAAGTAAAGCTCTTTTGGCTGCATACCTAGGGGATTTTGTTAGAGATCTCACCTGTAAATAATAGAACCCCATCATTAAATACACATATATACACGCACGCGCACGCACGCACACACACATGCATGCACGCGCGCACACACACACACACACACACACACAATCAAGCCTGGTCTTGTTGCTCTTTGGAAGGGATTCCACAGCTAAGACTGGAGTTGTCAGTGGTTTCAGATTCAACCTTTAAAATTCCATAAAGGCTGAAGGGATTTAGCAAAAGGACACTCAGCCCAACCACGATGGCAGCTTTAAGTGTGTAACTTGCTTCTTTGGCTGGTGGGAAGCCAGGTGGTTGGCTTCCATACCACACACCCTAAATGTCTTGGCAGCTAGACTAATGCTTTTGGAATTCCAAGGTTGTTTACCTTGAGCTGAAATGTGGATGTGACTGCAGGCTCACTGGGATGATGAGCCTGTGTAGCAATCTGAGTGACTGTC